TCATAGTATGCCATGTGAAATACAAAAAAAAAAAAGAAACATAAAAACCTTAAATTAAAATTGAAAAAAAAAATGTTGCGACTTTCTTTCTTAGTGAATTTGATTGCCTCCCGAAGCATTGATCCATCCTTTGCAAGACCCAATCAGCGTTTGTGCTGCTGAGTGAGATGAACGTTTCAAAAGCTGCATTTCAATCGCTTGTTTTGACTGGCAAAAGGTTTCACATGCAGACAGATTTAGAAAATTTAGAATTTTTGTGAGAGAAGAACTGGCTAAACAGAATGTAGAACCACAGCCACAAGCTATTTCGCTAGCTACATCAGAAATAATACACCATAACCACAGCTATATATTGTGGGCAATTTGAATATTTTAACTTTTGACAGCTCTTGCTACATTCTGGTTAGGCAGGAAACTAAAAATATTTGACATTTTATAGACCAAACAATTTGAGCAAAAAAAATCAAATCAGTTGCTCTACGGATACTACCTATTCAAAGTGCTATGTTGTTGAGGTTTTTTTTTCTCAAAATTAAACTCCAAAAATTAAAAAAATTTAACTAATAATGAAACAAATAAAATTAAATATATATAAAATGCTTTAATTGAGTTTTATTTGCCAGCCGCTTTTCGGCAAGATTTGCAAATACAGGAATTGTATTTTCCTTTAATTCCCTTTTTGATACTGCTCTTTTTCTATGAGCAATACAGTCCTTAATGGTCGTATGGTCTTTTAAATATGTGTTAACGTTACAAAAATTTAGAATAGAACCTCTCGCATTTGACATATTTTCGTTTTTCATATTTGTAACTGCAAATCCAACTGCTTTCGTGCAATGTTAGTGTTACCCTCGAATTTTTGTTTTGCAAGCACGCTTACTTTGTTAATGAAAACTGGCACATTTACGTTGCAACAATGTAGGACGCCTGCTATTGCCATTTTTTACATACATATGTAGCTAGGGCCAAAAACGTAAAAAAAAAAATAAGAAATCTTGCAAACAATGCAACAGTTAGCAGAGTGTGGACTACATACGTACATATGTTTGTATGTATGGTGCATGCAGCGTTGCAACATTTAACACATTCTTATAACATCACGTTTTTGACCGACTCACCAAGCCGCGAGGTTGGCCTAGTTACCAGCGTTGCAATTGCAGTTGAGGCCGTGCATCAACGACATATGTACATAAATGGAGTGGCAAACATGTCAATGTACAAATGTGTGTGTGTGTGAGTTTGGCATGTACATATGTATGTATGCAGCACAATCCCTCATCACTTAGCCACTCCATTTCCATCGTTATTTTCAACAGCACGGCTGACAGCCGCAACATCGAATGCATTGCTGCGTGCAATGTTCTGAATTTCTCCGTTCGGTTGCTGCTTTGTAGTTCACAAATACGCTTTGCTGGCATTTGCTGCAGTTCTGCGGTTTTTCCTGGTCACACAACAAAGCGCAATTGTTCCGGCTGTCATCAACAGCAACAACAGCAACATCGCGCCGCACTACCACACCAATGACAATCTGCCTCTGGCAATAACGGTATCAGAATTGTCCCTCCAACAAACGCGAAACGCATAAACACATGTGCATTCATCTACATACGAGTGTTTACATACATATACACATATGTACATACTTTTGTAAGTATCTCGATGAGTTGTCAGTTGTCAGTTTTCTTTGCCGCCACCAGATAGGTTGATCCATTTCTGCTCGGCTGTCAGTGCTATAGTAAATGTGTTGCGCGCATGTACATAAACCAAACTAACCACACAATACTCTATACAAATAGTTGATTTCGTAGAAAGTTAATTTTATATTCGCAGAAAAAATAAATAAATAAATAACATGAGTTACTTGGCGAAAATATAGTCTGTGACAAAAATATTAAAGTGGGTTTTTTTTTACTTTTTATTACTTAACAAGTGCATTAAAAATTTGAATTTGTATTTTTTTAGCGAAATATATAAACAACGAGTATTTAGGCCCATACATGCATATGTACATACATGAATTAGTACCAATTTTATTTTAATAAATACTTTTATAAACGTAAATATGAACACTTTTGTCCATGTGTATGTGTATATCACTTTAATATTAATATATTAACTTTTATAATTCCGATGAAATCTTGCAATTTTTTTTCGGTGAGGCATCATAATGTACGTGCATTAGGGTGGTCCAAATTAAAGTAGAGTCGGAATTTTAATGCTCTCACCCTCTAGGATTGTTTTTTTTAATCAAAACATGTTTAGAGCGCTCAAATTTTGCATGTAGTTTATATGGAGCAAAAAGTAAGGGCCTGGGCCACACTGGAGAAGGGAATCTTACGTTATGTATCTCTTGTTTTTTCATAACCAGTATACGTGAATATGTACAAATGTACATACATACATCTGCTTTAGCTGAAGGTTATATTTTTGTCTTTTTTCTATTTAGATCCCTACCTCGACTCCTGTTCGTTCTAATTACATTTATTTTATTCTGTGTTCCTTTATCTTCATTTTTATCTTTACACCCTACAGATAAAAAAACCGATAGTAACATCCAACAAAATATCGCAAAATTGGTTATTATATTGGTAGCAAAGTCGATTAGAAAATCGATAAAAATATCCATGACAAAATTGATAAATATCGATAACAAAATCAATAGATATCGATAACAAAATCAATAAATATCGATAACAAAATCGATAAATATCGATAACAGAATCGATAAATATCGTTAACAAAATCCATAAATATTGATAGCAAAATCGATTAACAATGATAAGAAAATCTATAAATATCGATAACAAAGCCGACAAAAAATACCGCTAACAAAATATGTAGTTAAATATTTCGATAACAAATCGATTATTATATCGATAAGTTCCGAAAATATCGATAACAAAATTAGTAGCAATATCGATAACAAAATCGATTAATATCGATAATAAAATCGATAAACATCGATAACAAAATCGATAAAAAAATACCTCTAACAAAATAGTTAAAAATATCGATAAAAAATCGATTATTATATCGATAAGTTCCGAAAATATCGATATCTAAATTAATAACAATATCGATAAAAACTCCGATAACAAGCCGATAAAAATGTCGATAACAAAACTCTTAAAAATATCGATTATTTTATCAATAAGTCTCGAGAATCCCGAAAATCTCTAAAACCCCCAAAATAGTTTCCAGATTGAGTCTCTGTGTCTCTCTCTATATCCTTTCCCCTTTAATTACCTTTATTTTAATCTACCTTCCCCTATCTTTATCTTTACTTTTATCGGTATCCTCATCCTCATCCTCATCTTTGTTTTTATTTTTATGTTTATCATATTCTTCATGTACATATTCCCCTTCACCTTTGCCCTTATACATATAGGTAAAGTGTTTAAATTTTCCTTGGTCTTCATTTTTGCCAATATTTTTACGCATCTTGGGTTTTGTTTTTATATTTACCTTTGCCTTTATCCTTTTCTTTATCTATGTACGTCCTCACCTTTACTTTCATTCTTGTATTGGCCTTTTTCTAAGCGTTATTATTTAACCTTTTTTTAGCACAAGAAGCACTTGTTTCAGCCCCAACCATTTCCGTTGCATCATTTCCGTTGCACCATTTCCGTGTGCAATTTCTGTTGAATTTGCAAATTTACTCCCAAACAACCAATCGCCGCTAAAGAAGTTTCATTTCGAAAAAAACAAATATTCGTTGTAGAGCTATAGCAAAACGTATGTATTCGTTACTGAGTAACGGGTACAAACCCTGATTCGAAATACCGAATCGTAAATCATATAATAATCTCGTTACTCGCAGGATCCGTATTTGCACCATTAACATAAATGAATACAACGCAACACATTGTGCGGGAACGAAACTGTTGTTCGATACTAAAGGGTGTTGCGTGTGTATGTACTCTGCAGAAAAAAATTATCAATTGATGAAAATAACCAACTTCTAGTTACTTTTTTTGCGGGAGTTCGGTAAATAACTAACTTTTAATTAGCTATGACAAAACTAATTTTAATTTAGTTGTAAAGTCGTGCAAGAGTCTTGCAGACGTTATCGAGAGTTTGTTTTCTCTAAAAGTTCCTATTCAAATATCCGCATTCAAAAATTACTTTCAATACACGTTTTTTCTAAACTTCGCAGATTGTTTTTCCTATTCAGAATAAATGAAAGGAATATCGAAATTTTATATTTTCATTTTGAAGTTATGTCTGACGGTGTTCGAATATGGGACCACCTACAGCAGAATATGTTAACAAATATGAAATGTAATAAAATAAATAAATAAATAAAAAATAACAAAAAAATATTTTGTTTTTCTTATTGATATTTTATGTACAAAACTAGTTAGCTACAAGTAAGTTGGCATCACCCTTCAAAAATAGTTAGTTACGGCCACGGGAAATAGCTAATAAATAGTTACCACTAGTCGACTGCTAGTTAGTGAATAGTTAGCTACAAACTAGTCCCATTTCCTGCAGGGTGCGTACATGCATGCATATGTACGAACGAACATTTTCTTACACTTGAAGTTTCGTTGCAATGATTCCTGTGTTGTAAAAGTGCTTTTATCAAAAGTAACGAGTAAAGTAACGATACGAAAGATACGGGAGTTGATTTGATTAGTAACGATTACATACGGGTATCCAAAATTTCGTTACTTTTTCAGCTATAGCTCGTAGGAATGGTATGGAATTCTTGAAAATCAATATTTTTCGAACGGAAAACAGGATACAGTTTTTTTTTAGATATAGAACGATCCTAGGGGGTGAGAGCATTAAAATTTCGACTTTACTTTTTCGCATGCATTTTGGACCACTCCAATGTACTTACATGCATGTGTAACTAAACTTTACTTTACTTTTTTGTTAGCCAATTATCTACATATTTCAAACTCTATTTAAGAGTACATTAGCCAGTCTATGTGCTCCAAAATATATTTATAAAATCTGATAAAAATCACGAAGGACACTACTCATTTACACAGCAAACCTCTCCTCCACCACAACACGCGCTCTTCGAAATGTTATGGCATTGCACCCTTCGACTCGCATTATTGGATTATCGCTTAATCGCAATAAATGTATTGATTTACGATTTAATTGCATCGGAAATTGTAAACGTAAATGCGCACATTGTTATGGCGACCACTGGCATGACGGAATTTGACAAATCAGCAGCAATGCAGACAACAGACGCAACAACAACAACGAAAGTAGCAGGAGAAGGAAGCGAAGAGCAGCAGCGAGATGCTTCGAAATTTTCTATTTCCAGAAGGTCAACAGCAGGAATGAGCAACGACGACGACCCAGCTGAGCTGGCACATTTCGCACACAAGCCGATGCGTGGCAGTGGCGAAGCGGGTGGCAACAACAATTTGAGTACCAGAAATATTAGATTTGCGTTGATGGCAAATGAAAACAGCAACAACTATGCCAGCGATCAACAAATAGCTGCAGCAAGGCCATTTGATATGATCGGGGTGATGATGACGATGACGATGACGATGACGATGACTGACAATTGCAGCCGTTTCACCAACATTCACATCAACGTTATGCCAACAATAAATGAGAGCGTTGACAATTTTCGAAATGACAAAAGGCAAATCGCATCAGCAGCAGTGGTTGGGCAAAATAATATGAAAGCCGTGACAGGCGTACTTGTAACCACAGCACGAACTGCAGCAGCAGCAACAACAATGGCAGCTAAAGAGCCTGCAACAACAAAAGCGGCAAAGGTGAAAGCAGTTGCAAGGCAGTCAGCAATAAAAGCAAAAGTCATAACAGCAATAAAATCGGCAGCGACACAATTTACGGCATTGACTGCAGCAGCGCCAGCGACACGTGAAGCAGCATTGACATCAACGGCAGTAGCAGCAACGCCAACATTGCCAGCAGTCAGCACACATGGAACCACTGCAGGACCAGCGCCAAGAACAAGCACATCTAAAGCTTCCACAACAATGTCGAAGTTGCCAATAACAACAACGTCAACTCCAACAACAACGCGTGCAGCACCATGGTGGCCAGCATTGCACGGTCATGATTTATTATCGCCAACAAATGGGATGCCAAATTGTCGAGTAACGTCTGTGATGTTTGCGTGTGTAGAAAAATGCCAAGCGACAACAAATAACAATGCAACACCACCAACAACTGCAACATCAATGGCATTTGTTAAACCATCAGAAGCCATCAAATCATCAGCAACAGCAACGGCAACGGCAGCATCATCACCGTCATCATCACTACCATCATCGCCAACCACATCAGCATTAACCACCAAGATGCAGGAGGCACCCACGACAGCAGCAAAGGCGACAACTACAACAACAACAGCAAAAATACATGCAGCAACAACAAACGCTAACCAGCAATCTTGGTCAACAACACATGTCACAAGCGCTGGTGGCGTAAAATTGTCGCCATCAACCAACGAAAACAACTCAATGACATTTAAAGCGTACAGCAACAAAACAAAGTTTGCAACAACAACAATAATAACAACTACTCCCAAGCGAGAAAAAATTCCATCGAAGCATCAAGCTGGTCGCACTTTTCCAGTGCCTGCAGCACCAGTGGAGTCAACCCCTTCAACTAGACCAACCAATTTAACAAGTACGCTAGCAACAGCAACAACAACAACAACTTCAAATATAGTAACAACGTCAACAAAAAGTGCAATAGCAAAGTCAACTAGCACATTGCAGTTGCACTGGCAACGCATTCTATCGCGTCGAAAACGTTATCTGGCCTTTCCGGAGGGAGCATCGTTTTCCGTATGTGGCAGCACATTTTTATTGCTTTATTAATGATTGCTAAGGGAATTTGTGCGATGCAACTTTTTCTTACACTCGTATAAATGTGTGTGGTTGCACTTGTGTGGATGTGTTTTAAAAAGTTTGAATGGATGTATGCGTTTTTTTTTGCGTTACACTTTTGTACATTTCTGCCAGTATATTCAGTGGTTTTGGTAACTTTTTTCGTATTACTTTTCTATTACAATTTTAGTCGCACTACATATTTTCCACCACAAGTGACTTAATTTTACATTGCGTATTTAGGTAATTAGAGTAAGTATACATTAGACGGAGTCGCGTTAAAAATTTTGCCATTATACAAAGTTTGAAAACTTACTTTGAGAACATTTTAGGGCCATTAACATTTTCGCCCTTGGAGAGTCCTTCAGGCAGCCAAAATCGAAATTTTTTCAACTTTGACATTTATGACTCCATTCAGGAGTTCAGGGCTATTTTTTGGATAATTTCCGGACTAGATCACGACTAGTTTAGCACCATTTGGGGTCTAGTCGGGATCATTTCGGAACCTGTTCAGAATTATTTCAGGATCTTTTCGGGACTAGTTCGGGGTCATTTCCAGTTCGGAGGCGTTTCGAGCCCTATTCAGGACCATTTCGGGCCTAGTTGCCAACAATTTTAGGGCCAGTTTTTTAATAGTTCTGGACCAATTCCGGACTGGTTCAGAACTATTGCAGGAACGTTTCGGGACTAGCAAAGGATTATATTGGGACTAGTAAGGGCCAATTCGGAACTGTTTCAAGACTTATTCGCTATCCTTTCGGGTCAAGTTCGCTGCTTTTTCAGACAGAATAGTTGGATCATTTTAAACCCTTTTCTTCTGTATATACAACTCCAGGGAGGATGAGAGAAGATACCTCATTTCAAAAGGTAGAAAAAGTAAGCAGAAAATAAAGGGTTGCCACTGTTGGTTGTTTTCAACTCTAATTTGGTTGTTTGGTTGTTTTTTCTCTGGTTTGGTTGTTTTTTGAATTAGAAATCAGCAAATGTTTTTATTACAAAAAGTATTATTGCATACTGAATGCCAAAAATGAATAAATGAGCTTTGCGAACTCCTCTTTTTAATGTAAACTGTTTTATATGCCCATTAGCGTGGTCCAAAAATAAAATTTTCGAGATAAGTCTTCGGGCACCTTCCAAAATTTTTCCTCTTACCGAAAAAGGTGCTGGTATCAAACATTATGTTTTTAAGTATAAATTTAGAGTATGCTCATGATGCTCATATTTTACTCTAGAAGTACATATTGCGTACATATATTAATCAAGCAATTTATTAAGCAACCTAAGAACATTTCAAATTTATTTGAATTATTTAAAAAAGTATCACAAGCTTCAGTTGTCATGGCAACAGTAGCATTTTATAAAAATCACCAATATTTTTGCCAGTTTCACAGCGATCCAGTAGCGCTTTTCGGGGTCATTGAGCACCCTGTATTGGTTAGAGTAGAAAATTGAAAGTTGGTATAGATATTACAAATCGTCACTACATAAATAGTTGCTATTTTTAAAGAGGTTTGACAAAAAAAAAATTCAGTTAATGCCAAATTACCAAAATCTATTCATTCTTAATTTTTTAATTTGCATCGCGAGATGGTAACCAAATTTACCAGTGCGCAGAATGCGAAAAAGGGTTTAAAAATTACCAGGAACTTTATTTACCGGTAACAAATTTTTTGTTACGAACGCAGAATAAGCCTGTAAGAGGGTGAATCAATAGCAAAGCAACTTAATGTCAATTGACATTATTTCACTTTTCAGTTCTGTATTAATATGTGACATTAATTCCGTTGACATAATTTCACGTCACCACTCGATACACTGTGCGTCGTCTACGATGGAATTTGTAAATGCTGCAGGAACTAAAAGGAACATAAACCCGTATATTAGCTTATTTTCAGAAATCCAGTTTTAATACTTGGATTATATAAGTTCACATCGATACAAGATATAAAATCTGTGTTTGTCAGACATGTTCTGTAAATCGCACGATTTGAGGTCGGTATGATTTGCTAAATAATTATGATTACTTCTAATGAAAAGATTGAATATTTTATAATAGACCCATAAAAGAAACATGAGAAATGTTATATCACCATTTTTAATAAAAAAGCATCTGAAATTTTTGGTTAATAAAAATCTGGGAAAATATTTCCAACATCGCACCGATTTCAAAAGAACGAGTTACAGAACTTGCCTGTATATTAAACCAAGTGCAGTGATGTCACCGTTTCCTTGCTATTTCATTCTTTAAAACACTATTTTCCCCATTTACCTCCTATTTGTGTGCCGTTTTTTCAGAGTGAAGGCTTTCAAAATTAGCTAAATATGTATTTGCCATTTTCAATTCGAAAATGATATATTCCTCCTAAATATTTTGAGAATGTGTACAAAAGTAGTTGATTTTACCTCTCATATAAAGTTAATAAATTTCGGCGTGACATTTTTTAATACAAATCCTTCGTCGCTATGCAAATGCATATATGTATGTATGTATGTATGAAATTTCCACCAATTTCAGGTCTCAATGTGCATCACAGTCGGCATAATCGGCAATCCTAGATACAATTATATGAGTTACGGCCTTAATTGGGGTGTCTCCTACGACCTACCCAATGCTACTTGGGTACTGAATCAACTGCATGGCCTGACCCGGCGTCCGACGCCTATGGCTGTGGTGCATAGGCGCAGCAAACGAGCACTTTATGAGCGTATCGGGGAAGCTGTGCAAAAGTACATACTTTCATACATAATTTCTTAGAAAAATAATTAAAATTTATGTAGATAATATTCAACTTAAATTTTTGTGATCATTAGTGAATTAACTGATTTTTCTTTTCATATTTCTTTCAGCATGGGCTACAACGGACGCGATTGTGTGCTGCGTGCGCTTTGCGAAAGTCGTCAATATTTTACGCGCAATAAAATGGGAATGATTGGTGAGATGTTGCGCGTTGTCTTCAGGTCAGCTGCAAATTCACTCCTTTATATTTTTGTACTTAAAAACTGAAAAAAATTTTGCATCCTTACAGCTTGCCAAAGCAACGTTTATTTACGCGTGAGTTGCGGGAGAATTCCGAGATTGGAGTCTATGATCACGCTTATCGTAAAGCACGCTCAGTGGATTGCGTAACCCATTATGACTGCCCGTTTTCGTTGCTCGAATTGGCATTTGGTAGATATGCCAAGCCGCCTACAGATTATTATGAAAAAATCGGCATGTGAAAGAGGACGCAACAAGCCAAAATGGAAGCAATAGTTTGGTATTGGAGGAAGTTATGAAATTTCTATTGAAAAATAAATATGTATGTATGTATAAATACAACAATGCTTATTAAAAATTCATTAAAATATCTAAATATTGTCTTGGGATAATTTGCAAGCACATACATTCATATGTACATAGGTAAACAAAATATATATATATATCATTCTGATTTTATTTGTAAACGATATTTGACTCAGACATTCTACCGAGTGTCAAATTTATTATAATACTAGCAGACCCGGCGAACTGCGTCTTTCCCAAAATTAATTTTTTATTGAAACATTTCCAACGTTTTCACCAATAATTCACGTTCACGCTTGGGTTTTTGGTCGTCAGAAGGCATATCCTCCATTCCCGTCTTAGATAACCTAACGAAAGCGTTATGAAGAAGTTCTTGCGGCAACAATGATCCGGTTCGATGTTGGATCCAGTGTTGCCAGGTCATCCGCATGAGAAATCGTCCCGCTTGGTCTGAACAAACATCATTTCCTACCCAAAAACTTTTTTTTTCAAATGTATGCACACATAATTGTTCTTATCAAACTTTTATTGTATACAAAGGTACATAAGTATTTACGTAAGGTATATTAAAATATCATTTCGACAGAGCACATTAAAACTCATTGTAGACTGGTTTGAGATCGTTAATATAAAAATCATTTCATACATACACTTGTGATCAGCTGATTAAGTCATCAACATTTTGATCGATTGCGGCTGTTTTTCTTTTGTTTATTTAATGTTTACTATTTTCCATAAAAGCCAAGCTCATTATATAACAAACAAAATATAAATCCACATTTCAAACTTTGTGCAAAAATTTAAAAAAATTTTTAAATTTTTCAGATTTTTTTTATTCAGATTTAATAAATTATTTTTTGAGTACGCTATCAAGCCCATTAAATTCCAGGGTAATAATGAATAAGAAGAATAAAAAAAAATGCGCGTACGCTTGGCTTGCATCACATCTAAATCATCTGTGTCCAAAGACTAAATATCTTTTGAAGAAGCTGCTGCAAAAAACAAAGCTTGTAAAGATATACTAAGAAAATAATTCAAAATCAGTTCTACTTGCAAGATTTAGTAACAGAGAAAAATTACTGGATATTTAAAAAACCTGGCAACGCTGGGTTAATCGTGCTTGAATCTGTATGGTATAATTGGTGGCAATTTCAAAATGCGGGAGTATCATTGGCCCTCAGAAATCCAATAAACATAAACTTATTTCAGACGAAATACCTTAAGTGTCTTAAAATTTTATTTATAGGCATTCATAAAGAATTGTCTTTATTCTGTTTAGTCGCCGTAAAGCAAGGACTGCAACAGTGGTAATTTGACTTTGATCCTTCGTGTCAGCGAATGACTTCACTTGACGATTTTTAGCAATAACTCGACTCCAGCGGCATCTTGCAACTCTTTTTGTGCAACAGTAGATATTGCCCCTACCGTTACCAATATATATCTCGAATATGAGCGAAATCGGACATTAAATACGGTTTTTATTAATAACTCGACTCCAGCGCCTTTCAAGTTGTCAATCTAAATTATACCCACTCAAACACATACAAAAAGCCATTAAAATCGTTTCGGTCGTTTAGGAGGATGTCACCCATAAACACACATACGGAAGAATTATATATCGTTACCTGAATTCACAAAGGCCCTAACCATCATTTTTTTTATTTTACAGGACAAGCAAAAAACATTATAAAAAAGAGTATCTAATACAGGTAGCATGTTGCTTTTAACTCCGTTATTTTTGGTACTAACACTACAATTTTTATTGAGTTTTACGTCCTATCAAAATCTGTAAAAAACGCAGCTTCGAGAAAAGTGTTGGTTGGGGCGTCTGTGAATTTAGGTAATGCTATGTAGTTTTTCACGGGTAGATTTCAGTATATTTGGAAGGCGCCATGCCCCCTTTTCCAATAACCCCCTACAATACTCCATGAGTATGGGACTGATTTCAAATACCTCGGTATCTCGTCCACCTATCAGAAAAAAATATACTATATGTTAATCCAGGCAACAAGCTATCTACGTGCCAAATTGCAAGAAAATCGCAGCATAATGAAAATTTTCTCGAATAGATCGGTCCCTGGTCCACTTACCGGAGAAAAATTATCCTATATGTATGTATATTAATCCAGGCAATTAGCTACCTTTGGGTCAAATTTCAAACAAATCGGATCATAAATACGATTTTGTCGAATATATCGGTCCCTGGTCCACTTACAGGAGAAAAGGATCCTATATGCTAATCTAGACAATAAGCTACCTATATACCAATTTCAAGCAAATCAACACAGCATTCTGAAGGCCTACAATTCATTTATTTAAGATTAACATTTTAAAACAATCAAGAAATAAATAAATGCAGATACAGTCCTGAGCACAGAGATGAGATCATTTAACGTTGCTTGGTGTTATGAATTATATACATATGTACTGTTATCTACCAATAAGTTTATCTTCTTAAAAGTAAATTTATATCATTTAATTACACATGCAAAACTTTAGTAGCTGACCACACATAGAGCGGGTCATTTTTGTTTACAAGTTCCTTGCATAACATTATGCTATTGATACTGTCACCCTTGAGTTTATTTCTTAGCTTAGTTTTTATCAAAGAAAGCGTTGAATATTTGCGTTCTACAGCCACAGAGCTATGTGTTAATGAAAATATATTGAAAACAAAATTGGCGAGATGCATGAAGCTATTTTCATTCATTCCATTTTTAATAGAATAAACTTTTTCCCAAAACATTTCAATATCCAGATCGGTGGAAATATCAAGCTCACTTAGCCTCAGCAAATTTCACTGCGTGGTTATTATATCAGGATAGCAATCTATGAGATGGGGAAACTTAACAAAAGAGGTAAAATTGGTAAATCTGTATTAGAAACTACCCTAGCTGGTGTCATTATTTGTAAAAGTTTTATATCTGGCAGATTTGCATGTTGCCTGCAATGGAATTCGAACCCTGACCCTCTGGAAATTAACAAACTGTGGCAAGCATATTTGCGTACGCAGCTACAGCCACACACGTCAACACCACGGCACGCGATTTGTACCCTCCAGTACTGCTGGAGTCAATCGCTACTTTTGAACCGCTACTGCACCGACTCCTAGGTAAGTAGCTACTCTATTAACCCGTGGTAGTGCACATGGTAGTGCAGAGTCAAACCAGTCGTAAGCAGAATAACGAAAAACTACGATAGAGGGCGCCCATAAATCACGCTAGAACTACATTTCTGATTGGTTTTAATATTTTTTTCCCCTCAGTGTATATAGGTACACATCTAGTAGAAAATATGTATGTATGTATGTGCATATATACGTATGTATGTAAACAAGTACTTTTGACGCTTCTTTTTCATACCTCTTAATGGCTTTCAGAAGAAATTACAAATCATTAAATTTAAAAGTTTGCTCAGTTATCGGTGGTTAATTTAATGAGGAAACAAAAATTTAATAGCTAACCACTTTAGGGCATGAAAAAGGAATTCCTGCCATGTGCAAAGGAGAGCGCGAAAGTAAAAAGTTGAAGTAACGAAGAAAGCAAGCAAAGGATTACCATTAAAATTGAAATTTAAGTTTTATTGAATTTTAATTACAGAAATGTGCGCTTGCAATGATTTTTTGTTTTAATGGAAAAGAAGTGAGTGCTTTTTACTTTTTCCTTTCACTTTGTGTTGTAGCGGCGAAATTTATGCACATTTTTGCTTTTCCTATTAAGGCAATTTCATGTTCGGCAACATGTACGAGTGGTTGAGAAATTTTTGCACAACGCTGCTTCAAGGAAATGTTTTACGCTTTACTTTTCGGCTTGACAGGAAGTTTCAATTGCCAGAAGCTTTTTAAAGAATGTGTATGTAACTTTTACATTTTTCTTTGGGTGCAAATCGAGTTTCATTCTATTTACACAGTTTGCTTATGTCAAAGGAAATCAGCGGATACGGTGCTTGGATGAAGCTTCGCTACAAAAAGTTTCCACAAGGGGTTTCTTCCAGACGTGTTCTTTCACCAATACTTTGGCAGCAGTGTGCAAAAGTGTACTTACCGTTTGATAGGTGAGGTTAGGTTAGGTTGTAGTGGTTGTTCTACCTTAGGTTCGATGTCGGCCGGGTTTCTAGAAAAATAACCATTTAGTTTTAGCAGATTTTTGAAGAACCGAAGTCTGTCAAGTCCCGTCAAACTCGGACAGTGACAGAGAAATCGACTCTTGCGATTTCCTCTTCATCTGGGCGGCTCCGACAGAAGTCGTTTATTGCAAAACCCACTCTTCCTTGGTGTTTTCCACTAAGAAATTAGGGGTGCTTATTCCAAGAAGAATAAAAAAAATTAAAATTTTCAAAATAATTATTTGTCCCGTATTCGGCTGCCATATAGTTGGTTACCGTATCTATCTTTCCAAATGAAGAAATCAAACGAAAAAAATTCATATCCGTATATTTTCAAGTTTTTCCTTCAACTTTTTCTTGGTAGCTGGAAACAAAAAGATTAGCCATTCATTAGAAAACTATTGTCTTGCCGGTGTTAATGTTTATTCTAGAGCGCCTTAGTTTCCATAGGTGCGCTTTATAAATCATTGGGCTGTAAGAATAAAAGCTTTAAGAGGTAGCAATTGCTTTGTTTTATTCTTTCCACCCATTGTCACCGCGCATTATTTTTTCTTTTTTCAATTCACGGAACATTTATTTTCGATTTTGAAAAAAGCCCAAAGCCCAAAGCCCATCTCCCAATTTAATAATATTATTACGTTATTTGTCGTATTTGTATTTTTTTTTTCAAAATTATATTCCTTTATCCCTGACCCTGATCAAGACGCATACCGCACATTGGAGGCATAGCCATACGCTCAACAAAGATGTGAGCGCCACATTTTTTTTATTGTATGTGGGGTTTTCGTGACTTTTAGTTATTTTTCGGCATACTTTCGGATTATTTCATGACTTTTCATGAATTTTCAACGCTCTCTGGGATGGAGTTGCTCTTTGTCCACGGCCTTGATCTGGGTTTTTCAGGATCTTGCTAT